TTTATTTTATTTTATTTTATTTTTATTTTTTTTTGAGACAGAGTTTCGCTGTTGTTACCCAGGCTGGAGTGCAATGGCACGATCTCGGCTCACCGCAACCTCTGCCTCCTGGGTTCAGGCAATTCTCCAGCCTCAGCCTCCTGAGTAGCTGGGATTACAGGCATGCACCACCATGCCCAGCTAATTTTTTGTATTTTTAGTAGAGACGGGGTTTCACCATGTTGACCAGGATGGTCTCGATCTCTCGACCTCGTGATCCACCCGCCTCGGCCTCCCAAAGTGCTGGGATTACAGGCTTGAGCCACCGTGCCCGGCTATCTACCTATTTCTAGATAACCAGGCAAATTATATTAACTCAATAGTTGGTAGGTGCTGTTGTTATTATTATTATTATTATGAGATGGAGTCTCACCCTCTCCCCACCAGGCTGGAGTGCAGTGGTGCAATCTTGGTTCACTACAACCTCTGCCTCCTGGTTTCAAGCCATTCCCCTGAGCCGCCCAAGTAGCTGGGATTACAGGCGTGCGCCATCACGCCCAGCTAATTTTTTTTTTTTTTTTTTTTTTTTTTGAGATGAGGTTTTTACAGACTTTTTTTTTTTTTTTTTGGTAGAGATGAGGTTTCGCCATGTTGGCCAGGCTGGTCTCAAACTCCTGACCTCAGGTGATCCGGCCACCTCGGCCTCCCAAAGTGTTAGGATTACAGGTGTGAGCCACCATGCCCGGCCAGTGCTATTATTATTAACACACAGGATTAATTAGAGGTACTATTATTTTTATTAACCACTAAAAATATATTTTTCTTTTCTTTTCTTCTTTTTTTTGGAGACGGAGTCTCACTCAATCACCCAGGCTGGAGTGTAGTGATACGATCTTAGCTCACTGCAACCTCTGCCTCCTGGGTTCAAATGAGCGATTCTCCTGCCTCAGTCTCCTGAGTAGCTGGGATTACAGGGATGCGCCACCATGCCTGGCTAATTTTTGTATTTTTAGTAGAGACAGGGTGCCACCGCGTTGGCCAGGCTGGTCTCAAACTTCTGACCTTAAGTGATCTGCCTGCCTTGGCCTCCCAAAGTACTGGGACTACAGGTGTGAGCCATTGTGCCCGGCCAACACCACTTATAATATCTTTACTGTCCAAACAATGGAAACCATGGGTGACAGACACCATTTGACCACAAGACAAATGAGATACGTGAGAATCTGTGGCCATCTGTGGGCAGGGCAGTTAACATGAATAATTCAAAGTGAGGAACAAAAATAAACACCAGTGATGAACTAACACTTGAACACATGAAAGACATATTATGCTATTGCATAGAAAAACTTAATATGCAAGACAAACTCTACCTAGGATAATCTAGAAACAGTGACTTTAAGAAATATATTGAATGGATTAATTTTTCATCTACAAAACTATACAATAAATAAGAATAGTCAGGACAACTCTGAAAAAATAACAGGGCAAAGCGTCAGGCTAGCCCTGTTAAATATTAAAATATATTATGAAGCCTGACGGAAAGATCAATGGATCAGGAAAGAAAGTCCAGAAATAGACCAAATACATGCAGGAATTTAGAGCATGACAAAGGTGGCATATCAGTGGGAGACTGATTATAAACATGATGGTGAGATGACCAAGTAACCCTGCCTCACATCTTATAAACAAAACATATTAAAAAAAAATAAAACCAGAAGCCCACAAATAAGTAAGCAAATTCTAGATTGGCCAATGATTTAAAATGTAAAAAAAATAATAGAAGAGAAGATAATTCTTTTTTGTAAGATGGAGTCTTGCTCTTGTTGCCCAGGCTGGAGTGCAATAGCGTGATTTTGGCTTACTGCAACCTCTGCCTCCAGGGTTCAAGCGATTTACCTGCCTCAGTCTCCAAAGTAGCTAGGATTACAGGTGCTTACCACCAGCTAATTTTTGTATTTTTAGTAGAAATGGGGTTTCGCCATGTTCGAGATCACCAGGCTGGCCTCGAACTCCTGACCTCAGGTAATCTACCCGCCTCAGCCTCCCAAAATGCTGGTATTACAGGCGTGAGCCACCGTGCCCGGCCAAGGAAATATTTTTATAATTTCAGAACATGGATGGCTTTTATAAACTTGATAATACATGAAGAAGTCATTTTAAAAACCACAAAATATTAGCCAGGCATGGTGGCGTGTGCCTGTAGTCCCAGCTACTCAGGAGGCTGAGGCAGAAGAATTGCCTGGACCTGGGAGATGGAGGTTGCAATGAGCCGAGATTGCACCGCTGCACTCCAGCCTGGTGACAGAGCGAGAATCTGTCTCAAAAAACAAACCAACAAACACACAAAATAAATCTATGCCAAGAAATAATTTTTCACCTATTAGATCAGTACACAGAACCAAAAAAAATCACAGTAGTAGAGAAAGGCAGAGAAACAGGTACTCGTCTAGCCTGAGGGTGGGAGTAGAGATGTATCTTTCTCTATAAAGGATATCGCTGTAGGCCTACAGAGAGCAATATGGAAACACCCATCAAAATTATGGTTACATATTTTTCAAACCAGAGATTCTTACTCTGGAGCCCCTTTTTATTAGACACACATGCATGAGTATGACATCATGTAAATATAAACATAGTTTATGTAGCATATTTTTAATGGAAAAAAGTTGGGAAACACTTAAATTTGCATCAGTAAAGAAGTACTGCAATACATTAGTATATACCCATATAATAAAATGGTATACAGCTATCAAGAAAGAATGTCTTATCTAGAGACATGCACCAGAAAAAAGATTTTTTTAAAAAAAACAAGGCCCCTTTCTTTATACTGATTTCAAAAGATCTCTTTAAACATTAAGTTTAAAAAGAATGGCACACATCAGTATGTATGTATACATCTCATCTACATGAAATCAGGAAATACATTTGTCATTACTTATTATACATAAATTGTCTGGAAGGATATATAAGATATTGTGAACACTGGCTGCCTCTGGAGAGGGAAAACTGGAAGGGGTTTAATGGAGGGGGGCCAACTTACATTTTACTGTATACTCCTTTGTACCATGTGAATGTATTAACCTATTCAACAATTTTGAAAAATTTTTTTAACTACTAAAGAAAGTACACATTTCCTTAGGGAAAAGGTATGGTTGAATTTAGAAAAGAAAGAATAAATTTTGTCCAAAACCTATTATCCTTCCCATAGCCACTCTGTAAGGCCACTGCTAACAGTCTCTGTGCCTGCCCTCACCCAGACAGGGCCCCAAAAGTTCTGCAGCACTTGTCTTGCTTCTTCAAGAACAACAAATCCTCTTTTTGTATTTCTTTGGAAATACTGAGCAAAAAGAGATGGCTAGGATTTCATAGAAATTACATGTTAATCTTTGGATCACTGCTGAAACTAAAGAATGAGTCTAGAAACTAAAAGGAAAAAACTGGATAGAATGCTGGAAATCTTAATGAATGATGGAAAGCGCTCTACATATTACTTCATTTTCTGTCTTGGTAATAGGGTAGCTAATAGAAGATAAAAACAGAGAAGATGAGAATGTCTTATGCAAGTAACAATCTTTAGCATTCTTTACTCACACAGCAGTATTCCTTAGTGGGTACAAATTCATGCATAGAACAAGCTTTACCCAAAAGAACAGGTCCATACCATGCAGAACACAATCCCATGATGAAACCTCTCCAAAAGCCTGACTGGCTACTAAAACCAGTTGGTGTTTTATTAAATTCAGGAGTTAGTAGACACATCATGCAAGCTGGCAAACAGTGATTAAGAAGAAATAGTGTCACTTATAGGCTGTGAAAAATCTCAAAGACAAGGAAACCTTTTTTGAAAGATTCAGGGAGGCCACGATTAAATGTATACTTTGGGGGGATTTGGGGAGGGTGGGGGGAAACAGTGCTACCATTTCTAAATCTTTTTTTTTTTTTGAGATAGAGTCTCACTCTGTCACCCAGGCTGGAGTGCAGTGGCACGATCTTGGCTCACCTTAACCTCTGCCTCCTGTGTTCAAGTGATTCTCCTGCGTTAGCCTCCTGTGTAGCTGGGATTATAGGTGCCCGCTACCATGCCCGGCTAATTTTGGTACTTTTAGTAGAGACAGGGTTTCACCATGTTGGTCAGGCTGGTCTCGATCTCCTGACCTCAGGTGATCCACCCACCTTGGTCTCCCAAAGTGCAGGGATTACAGGCATAAGCCACAGCACCTGGCCTCATTTCTAAATCTTAAAGGAACCATCTTCTCAATCTCATTCCAATTACGTGACTGAGTAGAGCCCGAAAGGGTAAAATTATGAGAAACACAACATGGGCAAGTTTTACGGACTGTTTGGTGGACACAGACTATGCCAAAACTCAAACTCACATGCAACTGTGGGCCAATGGATATAAACAACAGACTGGTCAAAAATGTATCTGTATTATTAAGAGATCATTTCCCACTACTAGAAACACAAATAAATCTGTGCCTACCAGTGCTGGTTTGAGGACACCATTTCCTCATAAGGAGGTAGACTGATTTCATTTAACCTAAAAGCAATTTGGGTATTTAGTCTCACCAGCACCAGCTACACATACACTGAAAAAAATCTCATGCATATAGTTAGACATAAAATATTTTTTCTTTTCTCCTGCAAATCCTTATATAAAGCAATGATTAAAATTTAACTGTAAACTTTACATATAGGAGGCACGATTTTAAAAAAATTAAGAAATGGATGATGATAGGTCTTCTGTTAGACAATTCATTGAAAATTCAACTTCCCCTAAAATTGAACATTCAGTGCTGGGTAAAAAGGCATGCAACCAAATTACCAGCCTCCTCAAGCTGGACACAAGGAACACACTGGCTGCAGAAAACATACAACAGCAGTTACAGGTTTCATGCCAACAAACCAATGATTAACAAGGATGATTAGAGTCTGGATGGAGCCAAGGCACGAGCTCTTTGCCTTTTTGATGCTGACTCAAAAGCCACAAGCACACACATTTCCCCATGGCAGGTTCATACCAGTGGACTTCAGTTGCTTATATCTCTCTTGTTCCTGGATTGTAGACTTTGGCAAAAGTGGAGTAAGTCCACGGGACTTGGTGGGTCTCATGTAGCCTTTCATTGGTTCTGTCATTCTGCTTTTATCTTCCTTTTTCCCTTCTCCCAGTGTCTTTGATTCAGATTTTTCTGTCATTTTCTGAGGTGTCTCCGAGATCTTATCTTTGGGTTCTGGGAGTCGAACACCCTTGGAAGCAGTCATTATTACTAACTTATCCGCCATCTCTGAAGGAGGAGCTTCAGCTTTGCTATGTAAGAAATCTGACCTGATTTCTGGTGTTGGCAAGGAAACACTTTCCAATTCCATGATTTTACAGGTCAGACTAATCTCTTTCAATTTATCATTTTCACTTTTTGGAGACAAAAGAGTCAGATTTACCTGCTTATTCAAACTATCTGGACCCTTGGAATTTCTATCTTCAGCATTTTGGTCCTCACAAAAACTGAGCTTTTGTGCTTTGTCTTCTAGTAAGTCAGGAAGTTGAACTACAGCAGACCCTTCTTTAGTCTCTTTCTCTTCACTCACTAAATGTGCTGGGAAATTACCTCTATCTGCATATGCTTCTAGGGCTCCGACCTCTCTTGGTAGGCTCTGGTCTTCTACTGGCACTCCAGGAAGGAAGTGACCTTTTGCTAGCTCTGTGACTTTCTCTACTAAATGCTTAGATGCACCATTGTGCACTGACTCATATTCTCCTACCACATGCCCTTCATCGATCCCTGCTTCATTTTTCATGGAATCAGCAAGCTTACCTTTATTCTTAAGAGAGTTATCTCCATGACTGTTAACTGTTTCTATGGCTACTGTAATAGGCAGAACAACTCCTCCTGTGCTTGTAGAGGGCACAACAGCAGATGGAGGCTTGAGTCTTTCTTGACCTGGGACTCTATCTTTGGTGTAGTTATCTACTACCAATGATTTAGAAATCTGGGCTGGAGTTCTCTCTTGCCCATTTTTTGCCAAGGTATCTGGAAAGGAATCACCTTCCTTTACTACTTGAGAAGTAGGAGTGGGCAGTTTTTCACAGGCTGCTGATTTCAGAACCTCTGGAGGAAATGACTTATTCATCAGTTCTGATGGTGTTCTGGGACAGGTAAATGTAATATTTCTATTTTCGTCCATATAGGCCATTCCTTCCATTCCCTGGTCCCCTGTGGTTTCCATGGGAACATGTATTTTTGTTGCATCTATCTTATTCTCCAGAATGTGTTTCTCAGGAGAACTATTTTTAACCTTTTTACTTTTTCCATCATTACTCCTTTTACTTGGTTTGTCAGCTACTGCACTGTGTCTATTGGCTGCATCTGTCTCATTCTCCTCAGCTACTACTGAAGGAACAAATCCTGCTCCCTGGATTTGCTCTTGGCAGTGCACATCTGTCACCTTGGCAGCTGGTTCAGTAACTGCAGAAGCCTTGACTGTACTTGTTTTGTTTTCCTCAAGAGTCCCAAGCTCAACAAAATTAACCTCAACATTTCCACCCTTTCTGTCAACTACCTCGACTGTGGGTGTACCTGGTGTATGTGAGAACAAAGAATCATGTGTTTGGGGGAAAGTTAGTCCTAATTCCTTGCTTTTATGGGGAATACTACCAGCAACTCCATCCTTCCCTTCAAAAGGTAGACTGAGGATTTCTTCCTTCCTCTCCATTTTAGCAGGCTGTGTGGAATAATTACTTCGAAACTTTCTGCTTTTGCCTTCATTGCCTCTCTTTTTAGGCTTTTCAGAAATCCAGGGAGCTGCCTCATGATCCTTCCAATGACATTTTCCTTCCTTGCTCTGGTTACTGACACCCATATCTTTGCCTCCATCTCCTGTTTCTGTCCTAACACCAGAAGTCTGAGTCATGTCTGATCTACTTTCCAAGGGAATCAATGCCTGCAAGGTGTCTGCCACCTTAAGCTGAGTAGTCTCTTTAGGCTCCCCTATCACTGCTGCTTCCATGAGATCAGTCATAGTGTCTGGTTGCTTTGAAGAATTCAGCCCCAGCTCCTCACTCTTATCCTGAGTAGCCATTCCTTCAGTTTTAGGGACTGGCTCACTCTGTGTGAGGACAGCCCTTCCTTCCTTCTGGCTGTCCAGAAGAAACGGCAGCTCAGATTTTGCTTTTACCTTCCTAGAATCTGTTCTCATTTTCCCAGAACTTCCCCTTCCCTTCCTGCTTTTGCCATCACTTGCCATTCTCTTAAATGGTTCATTCTCTAGCCCAGGGACCTGTACCATCACTTGGCCCTGCAGCTGCTCAGAAGTAAAGATACTAATCTCTTGTCTTTGCTTGGGAAAAACTTCCTTTTTTAGTTCTTTATCCTCTTCAGCTCCTTCAGGAAACTCTTTCTGTTTGACATTCTGCAGTTTAGTCATTTTGCTTTCATTATTCCCTTCTTTTAGATTACATTCTAATAGATTACTTGCTATCAAATTTGGTAGTTCTTTTGCTGCTGTGGGTTTTAAAACTATACCCATAACCTCTTGGTCCAAGACAGGAGAGCAACCTTCTTTGAGTGTGCTATCCAAAGGAGTTTCTACATTGTATGCTGAAACTTCTGCTAGGGGCCCTTTCAGATTTAGAGGGCCTACTAACTGGCTTTTATCTACAGGAATCTTCAGGTGGGGCGCAGGCTGTGGTTTGTATTCATGTTGCTTCAGCAATTTCTTGTCTTGGCTTTGTGGTACTGACTTGTTACCTTTGCTCTCTTCATCTCCTCTCAGTGTGGACTGAGAACTTACTGCAGTTTTGGGGGGTTCTTCTGAAGGACATAAAGGAATTCTGAGACTGTCTAAGACAAAGTTCTCAGCTACCAGTCTGGCTGCACTAGAGTCAACTACACATTCCCTTTTCAAGTTTTCTCCAGATACAAGTCCATATTCTGTACCCATATTGGTAGATTGGCTGGGAAGAACACCTGCTTTTTGTGTGTCAGTTGGAAAGGGATGACCTTTAGGCTTATCTGCATTGTCATCATTCCAAGGTCCTCCAGCCCGGGGTTGAGAGTATCTCTTTTGTTTTGGTTTCTTCTTCTTTTTCTTCATCATCATTGGTGTGCTTTCTATATCCCAGGACTCCCTGCCAAGATCCCTCTGGGGTTCAAGTGAGTCGACATGAATACTTTTCCTTTGGTTCCTAGGTTCACCACAGGAGGATGAACCAGAGACCCAACCTGACTCAGACAAAGAGCAGTGGCCCAGCCTGTGATCAAGAGTCTTCCACGGAGGAGGGCCTCCCAGCAGCTCAGGAGGGACCCTGGCAGGCTTGGGCCGGGCTGACCTGTGGTCACTGGGTCTGCAAGCTTGTTTGGCTTGTGTGGGAGGGGTACCGGAAAACATGAAGTTGGCTAAAATTCCAAACAAAAAACTCCTTGTTATTGTTTCTTAAAAACAAAACAAACAAACAAAAAACCCCAGATAATAACTCATTTAAGTAGACTATTTTCACCAATCCATATATTACTTAATGTAATTTGCTCAGGAAAAGTTTTTTTCTAAAACATCTCTCACTTTTAACTAGTGCTAGCAAAAATATTTAACAGAGATCATCATCTCAGGTAAATATTGTTTTCAAACATATTTATAAAATATTTGAAATACTTCATTTTAGACGTAGCAGGACTGAACTTTAAAAAATGAAATATTTTGGGCTGGGCACAGTGGCTTACGCCTGTCATCCCAGCACTTTGGGAGGCTGAGTGGATCACAAGGTCAGGACTTCAAGACCAGCCTGATCAACATGGTGAAACCTGTCTTTACTAAAAATACAAAAAAAAATTAGCTGGGCGTGGTGGTGCGTGCCTGTAATCCCAGCTACTCAGGAGGCTGAGGTAGGAGAGTTGCTGGAACCCAGGAGGCAGAAGTTGCAGTAAGCCAAGATCCTGCCATTGCATTCCAGTCTAGGTGACAGCAAGAATCTGTCTCAAAAAAAAAAAAAAAAGAAAGAAAGAAATTTTCAAATCTTCTAACCTCTAAAGCACTTACTGCCTGTAAATCTCATCTGATTTATATTGGTCATTATTAGTGCTTGCCTCTTTTTTGGTGAAATTTATTAGTTGTTTCAGGTAAATATACATGATTTTGGACAGAATTTATAATTCTAAGAGTTGGTCATCAATATTAAACTAATACTTGTCAAACAAACCAGATGGATTCTGGGAACAAATCAGAAGGCCAGACCTAAGTCACTTCACGCACATACACAAAATATAATGAATCCACATTTTGGTCACAGAAAAATTTTCATCATTTCAGAACAAAAGCATCCTACTTTGAAAGACAAATATGTTAAATTTCAACGTTCTGCTCCTAAACATACTTCCCAAAAGACAGAGAAATACATATAATGTTAAGTAGGATAATTAATTTGAACAATTAAGATGAGCACCTTTGGAAGAGCTTCAGCAGGTGATCTGGTCCAACCTGCCTCCAAGTTAATATGGATCCAAGATCCTGGAAAGAGTCTCACTAAGAGCACGTCTATGCCAGCTCCTGTAAAGTCTGACCCAATAAACTGATTTCCAGGAGTATTATAATATGTAAATCGTATCTTTCATTGTTGTCCTTTTCTTTCCAATATCATCTAAATCCTAGCGTTTATTTAATATCTTAGGTTAATTACTGCATCGCTCAAAAAATTGCTAGGCTATAACACCCCACAGTATTTATAAAATTTAATTCAGCAATTAATCAGCAGCTATTCAGTGCCATCTTTTATGCTATTTTATTCAATTATTATGTAAATCTTGAGTTTCAGAGTTCATACCTGAAAAGTTCTCTCTTCATTTAGGTTATAATATAATAATTTGGGGGCAAAGACTGGGACTTAAATATCTATGTGCCTTAACATGGTGTATTTTGTACAAAATAAGCATTTGATTTCTTGTGCTAGATAGTGTGCAAAGTACTGGAGATTCTAAGTAAAATAAGTCATGGCCCCTGCCCTCAGGATGTCCATATTCCAATCATAGTCACAGAAAAGTAAACAGAAAATCAAGTTGATAACCATATACATATGCTTTTGGCTTATCAAAACCAGGTAATCTTAAAATTCACCGAATAATCAGATTTTAAGTTGGAAAGTATCTTAGAGAGTACCTCTCCCAGTTTAATAAAAATTAGAATTATCTAAGGATCTTATTAAAATGCAGATTATAATTACAAAAGCCTGAGGTAGAGCCCAAGATTCTGCATTTCTAACAGGCTCTCAGGCATTGCAGATGCTGTTGGGCCACGGAACACTGTAACTAATAAGGCTCTAGAGATCATTTGACCAATTAATTTATCTTATAGCTGAGTAAGCTGAGATATGGGCAAGTTATGTAAATTGCCTAAGACCACAAAGGATAGAATAATGAACAGCTGAACTGGATCAAATTTTGGTGTCGTTTCTTCACTATGAAAACAGTGGAGATTCACTGGGGTGAGGGAGAAAAAAAAAAAAAAACAGAAAAAATAAGAAAACAGTGGAGAAGGCCAGGTGCAGTGACTCATGTCTGATAATCTCAGCACTTTGGGAGGTGGAGGCAGGCAGATTACCTGAAGTCAGGAATTCGAGACCAGCATGGCAAACATGGTAAAACTCTGTCTCTGCTAAAAATATAAAAACTAGCTGGGTATGGTGGTACATGCCTGTAATCCCAGCTACTTGGGAGGCTGAGGCAGGAGAATTGTTTGAACCCGGTAGGCAGAGGCTGCAGTGAGCTAAGATCACGCCAGTGTACTCCAGCCTTGGCAACAGAGCAAAACTCTGTCTCAAAAAAACAGGCAAACAAACAAAAAACAGTAAAGAAAAAAAAATTTAGGTGTCCTGATTGCTGTAGTAGTAATTTTTAAAGATATACCAGGCCAGGCGCAGTGGCTCATGCCTGTAATCTCAGGACTTTGGGAGGCCGAGGCAGGCAGAACACGAGGTCAGGAGATCGAGACCATCCTGGCCAACATGGTGAAACCCTGTTCTACTAAAATACAAAAAACTAGCCAGGCGTGGTGGCATGCGCCTGTAGACCCAGCTACTCAGGAGGCTGAGGCAGAGGAATCACTTGAACCCCAGGAGGCTGAGGTTGCAGTAAGCTGAGATCGTGCTACTGCACTCCAGCCTGGTGATAGAGCGAGACTCCTTCTCAAAAAAATGATATAACAAGCTGCCTTTCTGTAGAAACAGGATAAAATCTGTCTAAGAGAATTAACTTCATAAACTATACTGCTGATTACCACCATGCAACAGGGAACTAGCGACAATGTCTACCATCACTACTCCATCGCCCCTAATTTGCTTCAAAGAGTTCCTTTTGTTTTCCTAACTTACCTGAGGTCTCTGAAGAAAGCTCAGAAGGTTGACTGTTGCATGGCTTCTTTTCCTCTAGTTTTTCTAACACATAATCTTCATTGGCTGGCAAGCTGCACTTTCCCCCCATATCTGTGATGGGTTCTAAAGGTAGTAACAAAAAGCACACACGTTTCAGAGAAGCACTATTTCAGCCATTTTCCACCTGCCAGAAATTGAATATGCGATTCATTTCTGAGGAGTTCTCCTACAAGGGGCAGCAGAGAAGTAAAGTGGTAGTTGGAAACTGAAGTTGGGATGGTCTTTTTTTTTTTTTTTTTGAGACGGAGTTTTGCGCTGTCGCCCAGACTGTAGTGCAGTGGCGCGATCTTGGCTCACTGCAATCTCTGCCTCCTGGGTTCAAGCAATTCTCCTGCCCCAGCCTCCTGAGTAGCTGGGACTACAGGTGTGGGCTGCCATGTCCAGTTAAGTTTTTTTTTGTATTTTTAGTAGAGACGGGGTTTCACCATGCTGGCCCGGATAGTCTTGATCTCCTGACCTCATGATCTGCCCGCCTCACCCTCCCAAAGTGCTGGGATTATAGGCGTGAGCCACCGTGCCTGGCTTGTTTTGTTTTTAAGATGGGAAAAATAATAAATGTTTGTAAGTTGGTGGGAATGATCCAATGGAAAAGGATTTAAATTGGTGGGGGGGGCAAAAAATGAGGAAAATACGCAGGGCAATATATCAAGTAGGAAAGAGGAGATGGAATCTACTGCAAAATAAGGAGAGGTTGGTCTTAATTAGGAGCAGGAACAGTTTACTTATAAAAAACAGGAGCATTTTCATAGGCAGACTCCATGGATACAGACAAGTAGCTGGGTAGGTAAAAGAATAAATGTTTGTGGATGTTCTATTTTATTGCTTGAATTATCTGAAAGAAAAACAGGACAATCAGCAGAGAATGAAGATAGAAAAGGTGTTGGAGGTGGGAGGAGGGTAAAGGTGAGAAAGAGTTGTCTAGAAGAGCAGGAGTATGAATAAACTTGCAAAGTACAGGGTGACTGTCTGTACTTTACCTGGCATGATGTTTGTCCTTAGTCTTCTTGAGACTACACCCTAGTAGAGAGAAATACTGAGAGTAAGCACAAGTACGTACCTGGTGAAATCATCAAAGTAGGTGCAGCTGACTGCCCGGCATCCCGCAGAGATTCTAAAAGGGAATCCTCACTTATTCCTTTTTGTGTCTGTGCAATTTGCATGTCTTTAATTGGAACTGATGTTGCCTCTGTTTCTGAGAGTGGTGCAACATCTTTGGCTGGAGTCACATTGTTGGCGGGGGTCAGAACCCCATTCTTAGTCAGGGCTGCTTCTGTTTTGGGTGCTGGGACCTGGTCCTTAGTCAGGACCACCTCTGTTTCTGGAGGCAGACATATGTTCTTGATGAGAACTATTTCTGTTTCTGGAGGTGGAGTCACATCCTTGCCCAAAGCCATTTCTGTTTCTGACAGTGGAGATATGTCCTTCTTCAATGAAGCCACTTCTTTTTCTGTGAACAGAGCCATATGCTTGCCCAGGGTCATTTCTGTTTCTGGGAGTTGAGCCATGTCCTTGACTGGGGCTACCTCTGCTTCTAAAGGCAGTGCTTTATCCTTGGTCAAGACCACATTGGTTTCTGGGGGCTGTGCCATGTCGACAGCCAGGGCTACCTCTGTTTCGGAGGACAAAGCCACTTTCTCAGCGGAGGATATTTCTGTGGATGATATAATGTCTTTAGCCTGTGCCACCTCTATTTCTGAGGGTAACACCAAACCCTTGGCTGGGGCTATCTCGTCTTCTTCGGAAGGTCCCATGTCCTTGGAAGGGGACAAGTCCATTTTTATAGGAGGTGCCCTCTCTGTTTCTTTGAACAGTGTCACATTCTTGGCTGGGGCTACCCCTGTTTCTGTGGGCAGTACCACATGCTTGGCCAAAGACATATCTGTTTCTGTGGGCCATTCAACATCCTTAACTGGGGTCACTTCTGTTTCTATGGGTAGTTCCATGTCCTTGACTGGGGCCATATCTGATTCCATGGATGGCTGTGTGTCCCTGGCCAGAGTCACATCTAATTTGGTGGGTGGTTCCATATCTTTAGTCAATGCCACTTCTTGTGCAATGTCCTTGGTGAGGGCTATCTCTGTTTCTTTAGACGGTGCTATATCCATAGTATTCAGTCCCATCATTATTTCCAATGCTTGTGCTGGTGGCCTCTCTTCTTCTGACGCCATTTCTATCTCCTTGGCTAGCTCTAATGGGAAAAAATTGGAAATTTAGGACACATCATTGTCTACTCATACCTTTTCATTAAAAATGTTTACTTTCTTCAGGCATAAGAGTATTTGACTTTTGTGACCATAAGACTGTACATGTAACTAAGAGGCTAATGTCAAATAACCTATTCTACCTACTCTTTGACAGTCTCAACACTTGGAAGAATAAGATGTAAGACAGTAGGAGGACAAGCAGTGGAGGAGAGAAGGCAAAGAAGAGAGAAAACACAGGCTTAAAAAAAAAAAAACCAAAACACATGCACAGAATTAGTATTAGAATGAGAATCTGTGGGACAACAGGTCAGTCATGCTTCCTATCAAGAAAAATCCCAGAGTTCTAATACTGTACTGAATTTTTTCTTTTTGAGATGGGGGTCTCACTCTGGGTTGCCCAGGATGGAGTACAGTAGCATGATCTTGGCTCCAGGGTCCAAGTGATTCTCCTGTCTCAGACACCCTAGTAGTTGGGATTATAGGTGCCTGTCACCATGCCCAGCTAATTTTTTTTTTTTTTTTTAAGAGATGGAGTTTCGCTCTTTCTCCCAGATTGCAGTGCAGTGGCATGATCTCAGCTCACTGTAACCTCCACCTTCTGGTTTCAAGCAATTCTCCTGCCTCAGCCTCCCGAGTGGCTGGGATTGCAGGCGCCTACCACCATACTTGGCTAATTTTTCTATTTTTAGTAGAGATGGGGTTTCACCATGTTGGCCATGGCCATGCTGGTCTCAAACTCCTGACCTTGTGATCTGCCCACCTCGGCCTATCAAAGTGCTGGGATTACAGGTATGAGCCACTGTGCCCAGCCCAATTTTTGTATTTTTTGTAGAAAGGGGGTTTCACCATATTTGTCAGGCTTGTCTAGAACTCCTGACCTCAAGTGATCTGCCTGCGTCAGCTTCCCAAAGTGCTGCAATTATAGGTGTGAGCCACCACACCCAGCCGCAAATCTATACTGAATTTTTTAAAAATTCAGACACTTAATACAATGAAAATGTGATGTAAAAAACATATATATTAAAAAAACAAAAAAATTTATTTATTTGCCCATTAACCCTAGGTGTTGTAGTTCAATAATTCCTCCAGTGGTGATATCACTAATATAAGCAAACATTTGTGACAGTTCTGAAAAAAAAATTTTTTTGAGACAGAGTCTCGCTCTGTTGCCAGGCTGGAGTGCAGTGGCGCAATCTCAGCTCACTGCAATCTCTGCCTCCCAGGTTCAAGTGACTCTCCTGCCTCAGTCTCCAAGTAGCTGGGACTACAGGCATGTGCCACCACACTCAGCTAATTTTTGTATTTTTAGTAGACAAGGTTTCACCATGTTGGCCAGGATGGTCTTGATCTCTTGACCTTATGATCCACCTGCCTTGGCCTCCTAAAGTGCTGGGATTATAGGTGTGAGCCACTGTGCCCAGCCTAAAATTTTTTTTTTTTTTTTTTTTTTTAGATAGAATCTTGCTCTGTCATTTGGGCTGGAGTACAGTACACAATCTCAGCTCACTACAACCTCCGCCTCCTGGGTTCAAGCAATTCGCCTGCCTCAGCTTCCCAAGTAGCTGGGATTACAGGCACCTGCCACTATGCCCAGCTGATTTTTTATTATTTTTAAGTAAAGACAGGGTTTCACGATTGTGGCCAGGTTGGTCTCAAATTCCTGATTCACCCACCTGAGTCTCCCAAAGTGCTGGGATTATAAGTGTGAGCCACTGCACCCGACCAGTTCTGAAATTTTTTTATCTGCTGTAAGCTGCTAAAAATATACCAAATGACTCATATTGATTATCAATACTGCAACCATTAACTGATAAAGGGAGTCTCTAATATTTTACCTGCTGTTGGCTGAGGAGGTTCTGCACTGGCCGCTGGGAAAACAAAGGACTGTGAGTATGGAGAGTTTAAGGCTTCCACAGACCACTCCTGAGGTACAACAGCTGTGTTGCAGGGAGACATACCTAATATTGAAACACAAACAAACACATTTTGAAACTTGGTAAACACTGGAAACAAATGATAACTGATATTTAAAATCTGCTGCATATATTGCCAGGAAGATAGACTAATAAAAGCAATGCCAAAAATTTTAAAGAAAACACTGCTGACATTGTTCAGGTTTTGGCTAGTTGTTAGTAGGTGGTATAGTATATCCCGATATGCCACTAATTAACATTCATTGTCTACCTTCTACAGGTTAATATAAAGATTCAAAACATCAATGATTGAACTCTGGTTCTAACACCATAACCAACATAATATACTACAGTAAAGAATTGTGAGCCTTAATTTCTTCCTCTGCAAAATGAGATTAACACCTCTCTTTCCAATATTAGAAGACAGTTTTACAAAGATACTTTGTAGCAGGTTTTTGTTGTTGTTTTTGAGACGCAGTTTCACTCTTTTGCCCAGGCTGGAGTGCAGTGGCATGATCTCAGCTCACTACAACCTCCACCTCCCAGGTTCAAGTGATTCTCCTGCCTCAGCCACCCAAGTAGCTGGGATTACAGGCATGCACCACCATGCCCAGCTAATTTTCATATTTTTATTTTATTTTATTTATTTATGAGATGGAGTCTTGCTCTTGTCATCCAGGCTGCAGTGCAATGACATGATCTCAGCTCACTGCAACCTCCGCCTCTCAGGTTCAAATGATTCTCCTACCTCAGAGTAGCTGGGATTACAGACCATCCTGTAATTTTTGTATTTTTAGTAGAGATGGGGTTTCACTATGTTGGCTAGGCTGGTCTCGAACTCCTGACCTCAGGTGATCTGCCCACTTCCGCCTCCCAAAGCGGTGGGATTACAGGTATGAGCCACTGCACCTGGCCTCAAGTAATCCACCCGCCTTGGCCTCCCAAACTGCTGGCATTATAGGTGTGAGCCACCAAGCCCAGCTGGTTTTTTTTTTTTTTTTTGAGTCTCACTCTGTTATCTAGGCTGGGGTACAGTGGCATGATCATGGCTTGCTGCAGCCTCGACCTTCTGGGCTCAAGCAATCCTTCCACCTCAGCCTCCTGTAGGTATGTGCCACCACACCTGGCTGAATTTAAAATTTTTTTTGTAGGACAGGATCTCACTCTGTTGTCCAGATTGGTTTCAAATTCCTGGGCTAAAGCAATCTTCCTTCCTCGGTTTCCCAAAGTGCTAGGGTTACAGGCATGAGCCACTGTGTCCGGCTGTAAATGAACAACTAGACAAATGTGGCTGGGTGCAAAGGCTCACGCCTGTAAACCCAGCACTTTGGGAGGCTGAGGCGGGTGGATCACTTGAGCCCAGGAATTCGAGATCAGGCTGGGCAACGTGGCAAGACTCCAACTCTACAAAAAATTAGCCAGGCATAGTGGTACACGCCTGTAATCCCAGCTACTCAGGAGACTGAAGTGGGAGGATCACATGAGTCGGGAAGTCAAGGCTGCAGTTAGCATCACTGTACTCTAGCCTGGGTAGACCGAGTGAGACCCTGTCTCAAAAAAATAAAATGGGAGATCACAGCCCAATTGTGAATCTGTGAGTTGTCTCCTTTGATTAATCCAAAGAGAGCCTTGTCACAGCCAGAGCCCCTAAATCTGACTTTTCTTTTTTCTTTTTTCTTTTTTTTTTTTGAGACGGAGTTTCGCTCTTGTTACCCAGGCTGGAGTGCAATGGCGCGATCTCGGCTCACCGCAACCTCCGCCTCCTGTTCAGGCAATTCTCCTGCCTCAGCCTCCTGAGTAGCTGGGACTACAGGCACGCGCCACCATGCCCAGCTAATTTTTTTTTGTATTTTTAGTAGAGACAGGGTTTCACCATGTTGACCAGGATGGTCTCGATCTCTTGACCTCGTGATCCACCCGCCTCAGCCTCCCAAAGTGCTGGGATTACAGGCTTGAGCCACAGTGCTCGGCATAAATCTGACTTTTCTTAGTTGTTAACTTCAAAGGTGATGTGTGAAAGGCCATGTTGTTTGGCATTAAACAACTAAAGGAGACTAGAATATGCTACCCCAAAATACGCTACTTTGACATGACATTTTTAGGCTGAAGGCTATTATTAGCCTGGAGATGGCACCATAGGAATCTACAAAGAAACTTTTACTAACTAGCTTTTACCTACCATTTACTTGCCTCCCCATATTTGTGGGTCCTAGAGACTCAAAAATCTTTTTCCTTCATCTTGTCACTTCTCAAAAATTTTTTTTGAGATGGAGTCTTGCTCTGTCACCCAGGCGGGAGTGCAGTGGTGCAGTCTTGGCCCACTGCAACCTCTGCCTCTCGAGTTCAAGCAATTCTCCTGCCTCAGCCTCCTGAGCAGCTGGGACTAGAGGTGCACATCAGCATGCCTGGCTAATTTTTTGTATTTCTAGTGGACGTGGGGTTTCACCATATTGGCCAGGCTGGTCTCGAACTCCTGACCTCATGATCCACCCACCTCAGCTTCCCAAAAGTGTTGGGATTACAGGCGTGAGCCACTGTGCCTGGCCACAAAAAAATTTTATCTTTTTTTATTGAAGAAGCTATATAAGCTGTAATCGTAAAGCCACCTCTTGCAGAATTACTCATTCTCTAGGTACCTCTCATATACGTATGAAATTCACATGTTAAACTTTGGTCTCTTTTTTCTTTTCTTTTCTTTTTTTTTTTTTTCAGACTGAGTCTTGATCTGTCACCCAGGCTGGAGTGCAGTGGCACAATCTCGGCTCACTACAACCTCTGCCTCCCAGGTTCAAGCGATTCTCCTGCCTCAGCCTCCTGAGTAGCTGGGATTACAGGCTAATGCCACCACGCCTGACTAAATTTTTTGTATTTTTAGTAGAGACGAGGTTTCACCATGTTGGTCAGGCTGGTCTTGAACTCCTGACCTTGTGATCCTTCCGCCTCAGCCTCCCGAAGTGCTGGGATTACAAGCAGAGCCACTGAGCCTGGACTTCATTTTTCTTATTAATCAATCTTTTATTATAAAGCCCTAGTCAGTGAACCTAAGATGAATAAAGGAAAAAATTTTGTCCCTTCCCTACAGAATAAATCCATTTGGAGAAGCCATACCATAGCTGTCTTTCAAGGGATCACTTTGTCCTGTAAATATTGAAGAATTGCCTGTTCCACCGGAGATAAAGACCAAATCTGTCAGGCCATCATCACGGTACATCTTAAAGGGATCTGGAATAGAGAAGAAATCCAAAACTCATTCCTGGTGAATGCAAATAGAAAGATTAATATTTCTTTCTTTTTTTTCTTTTTGGGGTGGAGTCTTGCTCTGTTGCCCAGGCTGGAGTGCTGTGCTGCAATTTTGGCTCACTGCAATTTCCACCTCCCAGGATCAAGTGATTCTCCTGCGTCAGCCTCTTAAGTAGCTAGGATTACAGATGCCTGCCACCATGCCTGGCTAATTTTTGTATTTTTTTGTGTGGTAGTGATGGGGTTTCTCCATGCTGGCCAGGCTAGTCTCAAATTCCAGATCTCAAGTGATCTACGCGCCTCAGCCTCTCAAAGTGTTGGGATTACAGGCGTGAGCCACTGTGCTCAGCCAATATTTCTTATTATCCTATGAGGAATATAGATAAGTTGTCAACAGTAAAATAAATTGAGATCATATGTGACTGTACATGGTAGAGAATCAATATTCACTAATTTGTTTGTTAATAATAAATATTCCCTTCTCTAAGATTTGGTTATATACATTAGATAGCCAACAAATGTATAAAACAAAAAGGGCAACTAATGCTCAACTGTGTAACAAACACTCTAAGAGGTGAAAGTATTTAAAACTAAATTTTCAATATACAATTACATAACATTCATTTTAAGTTACTTTTTAAAAAGACAGAGCCATAAGAAGCTTTAAAAAAAACAACAACAAGGAATTTTTCACCTCATGGAGATAATGAAGAAAACTGCATTTCAAAACTGTGAATGGGACAAGATAAATAATTGGTATTCTGAGAGAGGAAATAAACTCTTGACTCAGGAGCTGGCATGAATAAAAGCACTCAAAACATCAGGTAAATTCTTTGTGCTTTTGTAGGCTTCTATTTTCTGAGGAGGCCTTCTCAGAATGTATCTTATATCTCAATCACCCTGAAGCTTATTAAAATGAAGATCGCTGGTTCCTGAGAATCTGCATTTCCAACTAGTTCCTGAGTACACTAACATATCACTTCCTTAAGACACTTTAATTGTCAGAGACAGCTGCATAAAAGCCCAGGCCTTGAGAGAATGTTCATTTTCTTGCCTCTGAGGCAGCTATACCACCCTCTTTTTTGTAAGGAATTTCAGGATTAGGGGAGACCACTGCATCAGGAAGTATGAACAAGCAGAAGGCAATACTGGAAACTTGTTGAGACTTCTTCTTCAGAAAAGCACAGGAGCCTAGAAAAGTGGTGCACACCCTGGCTACTTGAGAGGCTGAGGTGGGAGGATCTTCTTGAGGCCAAGAGTTCAAGGCTGCAGTGTACTATCATATGGTGACTGTGAACAGTCACTGCACTCCTGTCTGGGCAACAATGATAGACCTCCATCTTTAAAAACAAAAACACAGCCTGTTTTTTGTTTAAAAACAACAAGAAAGAAAATCCTTTCAAAAAACAGAAAAATTAGCCAGGCATGGTTGTGGATGCCTGCAGTCCCAGCTACTCGGCAGGCTGAGGTGAAAGATCAGAGGTCGAGTCTGTGGTTAAGTCATGGCTGCACAACTGCGCTACAGCCTGAGCGACAGAGTGAAACTCCATCTCAAAATAAATAAATAGAAATTAAAAAAAAAAAAAGAAAGAAAAGAAACAAAATGAAATTAAAAAAAAAAAAAAGAAGAAGAGGAGGTAGAATATTAAAGACACGATAAACATTCATTCTTCCCAGTTCTCTATGGTTTGGGGTAGCTTGTTGTTTTCTCTGCCTCTCATACTTCCCCTGAGGGAAAATTGGATTCTTAGAGCATCTAAAAGAGTAAATGCTGTATGGTCTGCCCCTTAAGATGGGAGCTTACTAAATTACATGTAAAAATAGATGATCCTTACAGAGTTTTGTCATTTAGTCATTAATTTTTTACTGGGTGCCTACCACGTGGCAGACCCAGTATGCTCTAAAAAACCCAAAGATGTACAAGGTCAGGATGGGAACATTCAGCCGCAGGATATATTTTGGTTCAAGTTAAGAGACATCTTTGGTTGGTAAGTATTTAAGCTGAGAACTAAAGTATTTAATTTGAGAACTAAAGAACTGAGTGGTTATGAGGAGTGGGTCAAACCTTCTCTCTCTCTACATTCCCTCTCATCTAATACCACAGTTTAAAATTCCATCTATAGGTTGATAACACCCGAATTTATAGCTCAAGACTTCTAGACCTCTCCCCTTATTTCCAGACTTTTATGTAACATGTTTCCAAATCTACTCCTTATATAGTCTTTCCATCTCTAATGGCATTCTATCCTCCTATCTTTTTTTCAAAAACCTTGGAGTCATCTTTTATTTTTATTTTTTTGAATGGGGTCTCACTATATTGCCCAGGCATATCTCGAACTCCTGGGCTCAAGCTATCCTCCCACCTCTGCCTCCCTAAGAGCTAGGATTACAGGTGAGCCACAGCACCCAGCAGGAGTCATCTCGGACCTCTCTCTTTTTCACATACCACAGCCAACCTACCAGAAAATCTATTGCACTTGACCTTCAAATGTTCCCCAGAACCTATTTCTTCCCCAGCTCCATGACTACGATATCTCATAAGGTTGCAGTCAAGCGGTTGGCCAGGGGCTGTGGTGATCTGAAGACTTAATTGGGGCTGCAGAACCTGCCTGTAAGATGGCTTACTCACATGGCTGTTGACTGGATACCTCTGTTCCTCTCCCATGTGTGCCTCTCCATATCAGCTGGTTTTTGTCATGATGCATAAACCCAGAGTGATCAAGATGGAAGCTACCATATTTTTGTAATTTAATCTTAGAAATGACACATCATTAGTTCTGCCATCTATTCTACTAATCACACAGACCAAGTCTAGTACAACATGGGAGGTGACTACACAAGGGTATGAATACCAGGAGGCAGTTGACTAACACACTCAACTTTTCAGGAAATTAAACTCTCCTGAATTTTTTTTTCCTACTTCAAAATAGGTCATTCCTTTGTTACACTTGCTGGCTCCTCTTCTTCCTGATTTAAATTATTTATTTATTTATTTATCACTTGACCTCAGGTGGTTGAGGCTACAGTGAGCTGAGATTGCGCCACTGCACTCCAGCCTGGGTGACAGAGGGAGATTCTGTCTCAAAAAATAAAATAATTAAATATGGTATATCCATACAATGGAATATTACATGTCCATAAAGAAAGTACTGATACATGCCACAAAATGCAGGACTCCTCAAAATATTATGCTAAGTGAAAAAAAAAGACACAAAGAAACCACACATTATATGATTCCCTTTATATGAAATATTTAATGTAAGCAAATTTAAAGAGACAAATTGATGGTTGCTTGGGGTTGTGGTGGATAGGGAGATGGAGGTGATATTTAAGATACAGAGTTTCTTTTTGTGGTAATAAAGTGTGCTAAAATTGACTTTGGTTATTTATCTACCTGCCTGACTGCTTGCCTGCCTACCTACCCACCTATCTGCCTACATATCTATCAGGGACAGCTGTGTGTGTTGCCCAGACTAGAGTACAGCAGCATGATTCAAACTACACCTTTGAAGTGCTGGACTCAAGAGATTCCCCCACCCCAGCTTCCTGAGTAGCTAGGACTACAGGCATGTGCTGCCACACCTAGCTAATTAAAAAAAATTTTTGTAGAGACAGAATCTCATTATGTTGTTCAGGCTGGTCTCAAACTCCTTGCCTCAAGTGATCATCACGCCTATGACTCCCAAAATGCTGGGATTATAGGCACAAGTCACTGAACCTGGCTGAATTATACACTTTAAATGGGTAAACTACATGGTACCATGAATTACTGGCCAGGCACAGGTGGCTTACGCCTATAATGCCAGCACTCTGGGAGGCTGAGGTGGGCAGATCACTCGAGGTCAGGAGTTTGCGACCAGCCTAGCCAACATGGTGAAACCTTGTCTTTACTAAAAATACAACAAATTAGTCAAGTGTGGTGGGCACCTGTAATTCCAGCTACATGGGAAGCTGAGGCAGAAGAATCGCTTGAACACAGAATATAGAGGTTGCAGTGAGCCAAGATCACACCACTGCCCTTCATCCTGGGTGCCAGTGTGAGACTCCGTCTCAAAAAAAAAAAAAAGAATTAAAGGCCGGGCACGCCATGGCTTATGCCTGTAATCCCGGTACTTTGGGGGGCCAAGATGGGTGGATCACTTGAGGTCAGAAGTTCAAGACTAGCCTGACCAACATGGGGAAACCCTGTCTCTACTAAAAAATACAAAATTAGCCGGGTATGGTGGCACATGCCTGTAATCCCAGCTACTCAGGAGGCTAAGGCAGGAGAATCGCTTGAACCAGGGAGGCAGAGGTTGCGGTTACCCGAGATTGTGCCATTGCACTAGGTTATTTGAAACAAACAGTGAGAATCTTGTAAGTTAGATGTCAAAAAAGAAGCCATATTTAAGTGGAAACATAACTTGAGCTCTCAACCTGGCTAATATGGAAGTACCAAAGCTACTTCTTTGAGGTTCTTTTGAATCTCATTCTTCCTACCAACTCTGGCTCTGAGCTACTACAGATATGCCTTTTGTTTGTTTTTAATTTTATAGAAATTGGGTATGAGTCAGATTTCTCTTCTGTCAACAAAGGAATATTATATATAGGCAGAGTTAGGTAAGAAATACAGATAATGTATATATAAAGGCTCTAGCACTGTGCCTGGCACAAAACAGCACTGGTTTAACATTACCATAATGATTCTGGAAGAATTAATGTTCTAAGGTACTATGGATCCTCTAATCTTCAATGTATCTGAATTTCAGATAATGTATTTAAAATAGGTTTTGAAGAGCAGGGAACTAGAGGGCATTAAGTGTCTCAAAAGAAAGGATAAATGAAGAAGAGAAAGGGACTAATCAATGCTCAGGTTGTATTTTTGTGAGTTATACATAGGCTAGTATTTTCATCTGAATGGTGGCTGTAGCTTTTTCACATTTATGTGATAGCTCACATTTAGTAGTCACAAGCAAGCCAGGACTTACCAGTCTGGATAGGATTGACCACTTGCTCAGGTTGGAAACAAAAGTTGGTATCTTCTGGCCAGTTCTGGCTGTTGGGGTATTCCTGGTAGGCCATTTTCTCCTCAAGGAATTCAGTTGGAGACCCTTAAAATAGAGACACAAAACAAAAGTTGCAAGGCATTTCAGTTTTCTCCTCCACTACAGTGGAATTTCTACAAGTATCACAGCTAATACAATATTTAAAAATCCTTTCTAGCTAGTGTCTTAAAAAAAAAAACTTTTTTGTTTTAATTGAAAGATAAAAGGAGATGGATGAGACATGCGTCTGTAGTCCCATTTACTTGGGAGGCTGAGACAGAACTACCTGAGCCCAGGAGTTCCAGGCTGTAGTGCAGTATGATCGCACCTGTGAATAGCTACTGCACTCCAACCTGGGCAACACAGCAAGACTCTGTCACTAAAAAAATAGTTTAAGATAGAAGGAAATAAAGTACTGAAGGCATAAAGTAGGTCATTAAGGTTAAACTCCGCCCCCCCGCCCCCCGCCACCACTACAGAGTGACTCTAGGTTATATAGGCACAAGAGGTTAGTGATTTCTCCACATAAAAGAACAAGGATAAAACTGAAAATCAACCATGTCAGTGCACTGGAATTAAAGCCAGACCTAAGTAAGTGGAAAGATATAACATGTTCAGGAACGAAAGATTCAATACTGTTAAGATGGTAATCCTCAAAATGACCAATATATTGAGGAAATTACAATGAAAATCCTAGCATTTCTTTTTAAAGATATCAATCAGCTCATGCCATAATTTATATCAAAACATAAAAAATCTATAAAAGGCAAAACAATTTTGAAGAGAAACAGTTGAAGGGCTTATATAACCTGCTTTTAAAAGTTATTATAAATGTATCAACTCAGGCTGGCAGTGGTGGCTCATGCCTGTAATCCCAACACTTTAGGAGGCTGAGGCAGGCGATCACTTTGAGATCAGAAGTTCGAGACCAGCCTGACAAACACGGTGAAACCGCATCTCTAGTAAAAATAGAAAAATTACCTGGGCATGGTGGTACATGTCTCTAATTCCAGCTACTCAGGAGGCTGAGGCTTAAGAATCACTTGAACCTGGGAGTGGAAGGTTGCAGTGAGCCAAGATTGTGCGACTCCACTCGAGCCTGGCCGACAGAGCAAGACTATACCAACTCAGTATAGTAGTGGCAACACACTTAGATAAATGGAACAGAACAGGTTCGGAAAGAAACAGGCTATCTACAAACATGCCAGTATAATTTAACCCAGAAACAATTTTTTTTTAAACAAATAATACAGAAACATTGGACACATATGTAAAAGTTAACTCCAAACAGATCAAAGACCTAATGTAGCACACTGCTAACTTACTAAGGAAAAAAGAAAAAAAAAAAAAAAAAGACAACACAAAGACCTAAGAGTTAAAACTAAAAAAACTTGTAAACAGGAGAACATCTCAGTGACCTTGGATTAGGCAAAGATTTCTTAGACATGCCACCAAAAGCACTATCCATGAGACAAAATATAAATTAGACATCATGAACATTTAAAACTTTTGGTTTTTCTTTTTTTTCCTTTTCTTTTCTTTTTTTTTTTTTTTTGAGACGGAGTTTCGCTCTTGTTACCCAGGCTGGATGGCACGATCTCGGCTCACCGCAACCTCTGCCTCCTGGGTTCAGGCAATTCTCCTGCCTCAGCCTCCTGAGTAGCTGGGATTACAGGCACGCACCACCATGCCCAGCTGATTTTTTGTACTTTTAGTAGACACAGGGTTTCACCATGTTGACCAGGATGGTCTCGACCTCTTGACCTCGTGATCCACCAGCCTCGGCCTCCCAAAGTGCTGGGATTACAGGCATGAGCCACGGCACCCGGCCAAACTTTTGGTTTTCAAAGATACTATCAAAAGGTCAGGCTCATGCCTGTAATCCCAGCACTCTGGGAGGCCGAGGTGGGCAGATTGCCTGAGGTCAGGAGTTTGAGACCAGCCTGGCCAACATTACAAGACTCTGTCTCTACTAAAAAATACATAAATTAGCTGGGCCTGGTGGCTTGTGCGCCTGCAGTCCCAGCTACTTGGAAGGCTAAGGCAGGAGAATTGCTTGAGCTCAGGAGGGGAAGGTTGCAGTGAACCGAGATCACATCACTGCTCTTCAGCCTGGGTGACAGAGCGACTCTATCTCAAAAACGAAACAAAGCAAAACAAAAACCCCCAAAAACAAACAAACAAAACAACTGGCAAAATATTTCAATATACATTTTACCAAAGAAAATATATAATGGATAATATGCACATGAATGAAGCTCATCAGTCCTTAGGGAAATGCAAATTAATACTACAATAAAATCCTACTACAAAACCATTAAAAAGGCTATAATCAGTCTGGGCACAATGGTTCATGCCTGTAATCCCAGTACTTTGGGAGGCTGAAGCAGGAAGATCACCTGAGCCCAGAAGTTTGAGACCAGCCTGGGCTGGTAGAGACCCTGTCTCTATAAAAAACCCAAAAAAATTGGCCAAGCGTGATGGTGAGTGCCTGTAGTTTCAGTTACTCAGGATGCTGAAGTGGGAAGATTGCTTGAGCCTGGGAGGTCAAGGCTGCAGTATGATCACGTTATTGCCTTGGTGACAGAAAAAGACCCTTTTTCAAAAAAGAGGCTGTAATCAAAAAGACTGACAGAAGCAATTTTGAGAAAGTGTAAAACGGTAGTTTGGTGGGTTTTTATTTATTTATTTACATTTTTCTCAAAAATGCTCTTTTTTTGTTGTTGAGACAGGGTCTTGCTGTCATCCAAGGTGAAGTATGGATCATGGCTGACTGCAGCCTCAACTTCCCAGGCTCAAGTAATTCTCTCACCTCAGCCTCCCAAGTAGCTGCCAACTACAGGCACTTGCCACCACACCTGCCTAATTTAAATATATATATATTTTATGATTATAAAAAATATACATATATACACATATACATATAAATATGTATATTTTATTATTATTTTTTTTTTGGTAGAGACAGGGTCTCATTATGTTGCCCAGGCTGGTCTCAAACTTCTGGAATCAAGCAGTTCTCTGGTCTTAATCTCCCAAAGTCCTGGGATTACAGGCTTGAACCACTGTGCCTGGTTCTACCTGTATTTTTAGAGACTAGTTAAGTAGAGTAGTGAGAAGCAGGGAAAGAGTGGAACAAAGAGTTTGATCTGTTACTGACTGTGAACAACTGAGATAACTCACTACCTTTGGACCAGCCTCTTTTTACTTTTATTTTTTTTTGAAATGGAGTCTCACTCTTTCACCTAGGCTAGAGTGCAGTGGCACAATCTCGGATCACTACAACCTCCACCGCCCAGGTTCAAGTGATTCTCCTGCCTCAGCCTCCCAAGTAGCTGGGACTACAGGCATGTGCCACCATGCCCAGCTAACTTTTGTATTTTTAGTAGAGAAGGGGTTTCACTATGTTGGTCAGGCTGGTCTTGAACTCATGACCTCATGATCTGCCTGCCTTGGCCTCCCAAAGTGCTGGGATTACAAGCGTGAGCCACTGCACCTAGCCCTCTTTTTATTTTTTAAATAACAGCTTTACTGAGTATAATTCGCAAAATTCACCCTTTTATTTATTTATTTTTTGAGGCGTGGTCTCGGCTCACTGCAACCTCCACCTCCTGGGTTCAGGCAATTCTCCTGCCTCAACCTCCTGAGTAGCTGGGATTACAGGCATGAGCCACCATGCCCAGCTAATTTTTTGCATATTTAGTAGAGACGGCGTTTCACCATGTTGACCAGGATGGTCTCGATCTCTTGACCTCATGATCCACCCGCCTTGGCCTCCCAAAGTGCTGGGATTACAGGCGTCAGCCACCGCGCCCGGCCCAAATTCACCCTTTTAAAGTAGAGTTCAAAGGTTTTTAGCATATTCACAGTTATACAAGCATCACTACTATCTAACTTCAAAACATTTTCTTCACTCCAAAAAAGAAATCCCATATCTTTTCTCCTTTCCCACTTTCCCCTACCCCTTGGGTAACCACTCATCTACTTTTTGTTTCTACAAATTTGCCTAATCTAGATATTTCATACAAATGAAGTCACACAATATGTCATCTTTTGTGACTGGCCTCTTTTATTTGGCACAATGTTTTCAAGGTTCATCCATGCTGTAGTATGGTATCTGAACTTTCTTTTTTTTTTTTTTTTTTTTTTTTTTTTTTGAGATGGAGTTTCGCTCTTGTTACCCAGGCTGGAGTGCAATGGCGCGATCTCGGCTCACCGCAACCTCCGCCTCCTGGGCTCAGGCAATTCTCCTGCCTCAGCCTCCTAAGTAGCTGGGATTACAGGCACACGCCACCATGCCCAGCTAATTTTTTGCACCTTTAGTAGAGACGGGGTTTCACCATGTTGACCAGGATGGTCTCGATCTCTCGACCTCGTGATCCACCCGCCTCGGCCTCCCAAAGTGCTGGGATTACAGGCTTGAGCCACCGCGCCCGGCTGAACTTTCTTTTTTTTAGCCAAATAACATTCCACTGTGCAGATCCACCACACTCTGTTTATCCATTCATCAGCTGACATTTGGTTGTTTCTACTTTTTGGATACTGTGAATAATACTGCTATGAACATTCATGTACAGATTTTTGTGGGAACATATGTTTCAATTTTCTTGGTTGTATCTCTAGGAGTAGAACTGCTGGATCATAAAGCAACTTTTTATGTTTAATATTTTGAGACAGTGCCAAACTGTTTTCCAAAATGGCTGCATCATTTTACAATCTCAACAACAATACATGAGGACTCCAATTTCTTAACATCTTCACCAACATTTGCTATTATCTTTTTTATTTTAGTCATCCTAGATGTGGTAAGAAGTAGTATCTTATTATGGTTTTGATTTGCACTGCTCTAATGACTAATAATGTTAAGCATCTTTTCATGTGTTAATATGGCATTTGGAAGTTTTCTCTGGAGATGTGTCTGCTCAAGGCCTTTATCCATTTTTAATTTCTATTTTATTTAGAGGTGGGGGTCTCACTATGTTGCCCAGACTACAGAGTGCAACACAGTGGGACTGCATTGCAGGTGTAATCATATTCCATTGCAGCCTCAAATTCCTGGGCTCAAG